AATAACGGAGCGAAAACCCCAATAACCAAACCACCTGTGAGCATGCATTCAGTGACACTAGCAGGGAAGAACTCCCGGCAGAAGCAGGCTCAGTGAGGCCATCTCCAACGACCGGTTAGGGATGACGGGAGGAAGACGGGGAGTTTATGAATAACTAATGATTACATGCACACTGAGTGTGAAAAGAGGTGAAGGGAGAAGCAGAGAAAGGTGACTGCTCTCCCATTCTTCCATTAAACACCCTATAAACCACATGTAAACCAGCAGTCTGAGAGCAAAGTGCTCCATCGTGGTGATATGCTGCTATGAGGTCCTTAAGATAAGATATGGCCTGACTGAGATATAAAGATAAGCAAGTATCTGTGCCTTTGACTGTTTGTTAATGTTAATGCTCCCTTTAACGAGTGGCATCATGTGGACTTGGACAAAGAGCTACGATATACCTGGGAGCTCATGTTTTTTCTACCATGTAATTATGATCATTGCAAAGTTGGCATTTTAAAATTGAATTACATCTCCTGTCATTTGTGTCAGACTTTAGTTACTGGAGCTCATCAGTGGCTCGTTTAGCAAATTAGAAGGAATGCCACTGCAATCCCACAAGTGAGCCTCTGTTTCCTGTTCTTAGCTGACGGGAGCGGCATCCAGTGTGGTCTTCTACTGTTGCCCAACTGCTTCAAGATTAGATGTGCTGCATACCTTGGCTTTAATCAGAGGTTAATTGAGTTAGCGATCTTCAAGCAGCCTGGCCATTCTAATCTGACCTCTTAAATCACCTTTCTCCCCATTCTGATGCTCAGTTTGAACTTCAGCTGCTCGTCCTTATCCCGACTACATGTTTAACCCCTGGAGGGCCTTGGGTCGATTTGTGGCTCTAAGACCAATAGTGTATGCATTTTTCTAAGACTCTCCAGGGTTTAAATACACTTAATAATAATAAATTGTGTGTGTGTGCGTGCATATGTGTGTGTATGTGCGTTATAGTAGATAAAGATCACGCACATCAAAGGCCAATCTTTGCATGTAGTATAATATTTGCTTCATTTGCTAAAGTTCAGTTTTCAAACTAGAAAACAAAAAAGCAAACACATGAGAACAATCAGTAAAATTGCAATTAAGTCACAGATTTGTGTAACTGATCCCAACTGGTTCCTCAGAGTTTACATTCTGTCAGACACATTAAAACCAAATGCTGGGAAGCAGCAAAAGCCTGCTGGACCTTTTTCAATGTGACTTAGTGAAAAATAAAACAAGGTGGACTTTTATTGCCGTTTGATGTACACAACATCAAAAGGAGGACATTAAAGAGTTAAAGTGCTGTAAAAACTTGCCCTCTGCTCTGTACAAGTGCAACAAAGCTCGGGTATCCTTCTGTCACTTCTGGCACAGCATTGCAGGATGAAATCATGTAGCGTGATCATCTAATTACCAAACACACAATTTATTATCAGAATTTTCCGCTAATTGTTGTCATATGTACTGCGTGTGTCAGGGGGTTAAAGCTCATCCAAGTGGAACTTTGACTCCTGTCCACATTCAGCAGCCGAGTTCAAACTAACCAATCGCAGCTGACCTGTGACCTCTTGCGTTGACCCTCTGACCCCAACTGACAGGCCTGATTAGAAATGAATAATCTGACAAGTTTCAGCTTCAGGCTTCAGCTCACTGATACAAACGCAGCCCACACAAAAAGCTAATAAACATTAAAAGCCACACCAAAAAGATAAATGATCTATTCACTCGCAAAGCTGGTTTCACCCCTGCATAACTCCACAAATGGCATGTTGTCTGTCAGTTTATTTGTCACTAAACTATTTCAGAAATGTTTTAATAATTACATTTTCAGCCATTCTGGTTCCAACATCCATGTTTTTTCCAACATAGAAGGTAAATGATCAATTGGACCATCTTCAGGTGAAACAAATGTGTCCATTACTTTGTCTTACTTGTTACTGTTCTATGACCAAATTAATGCAATACGTTGTTCAAAGATTCATTTCAATTCAATTTTATTTATATAGCGCCAAATCACAACAAGTCGCCTCAAGGCGCTTCATAGATACAGAGAAAAACCCAACAATCATATGACCCCCTATGAGCAGCACTTTGGTGACAGTGGGAAGGAAAAACTCCCTTTTAACAGGAAGAAACCTCCAGCAGAACCAGGCTCAGGGAGGGGCGGGGCCATCTGCTGTGATTGGTTGGGGTGAAAGAAGGAAGACAGGATAAAGACATGCTGTGGAAGAGAGACAGAGGTTAATAACAGATATGATTTAATGCAGAGAGGTCTGTTAATACATAGTGAGTGAAGAAGAAACACCCAGTGCATCATGGGAATCCCCAGCAGCCTACGTCTATTGCAGCATAACTAAGGGAGGATTCAGGGTCACCTGGTCCAGCCCTAACTATATGCTTTAGCAAAAGATGCACATTTAACATTAAAGTCACATTAAAGAACAATCTTCAGAACAAATTTTAAATATATTTTCTTCTTCCACATATCACTTTAGCACATGTTCACAAAATCTGGTAAATCTTTGGTTTTGGTTCATTTAAATGTTGCCGTGCATTTCGTCCTCCTTACATTGACGCTAATGCACAGAGTCAGCAATAAAGTCTCTGTGGACTGAATCTGCAGAAGCTCATTCCTTTATTGCTAAGATCATGGTAACAAAACATTAGACGTCAGGGTTGGTCCATGTGATTGGAGTAGGTTTACTAGCTGTTGTTGTACTGCTTAATGTTTCTGTAGTACCTCAGTGATTGGTTCATATTATCCCTAGAAGCCTTTGGCAATGTGTTAAAGACCGTCAGCACTAAATAACTCCTCTCCTGCAGTCTCTAAGATTAACAGCATGAGGAATGAACATTTTATCCCATTATTTACTGCAAAAAATCCCAGTATCAACAAGAAATATGATGAATTATATAGGGAAACTCAAGCATCTGTGGTATGAATGTATGGTGTGTGTACATGTTTGGCTACAGTAGACCCCAACCACAAAGCTTACTGGTACTATTTAAATGTAACCTCTGTTGAAACTCACAGATTCTGTCCAGATGCACAAGCTGGCCTTCGCTGTGAAACACATGTCACACATTTACCTCTTTGGCTTCTATGAAATCACACTCTCTGCTCGTGTACAAACATGAAAAAGAGGGGCTGCTCTGTCCGCTGAGCCACATCTGTCTTTGGAGAGCTACCAAACATTACAGCATGAATCAGGCTAGAATTAATCAGAATCAGAGAGGATTTAATATGGAGTCCCCAGAGATTTGCAGACACTCCATCCTCCCAGAAACAACTACAATGCATCTTTTTCTCCAGAGAACAGCTGTCAGATGAAAGGATTTTTTTTTTGCCTTTCAAGAGGAGCCTGTCTCTAAACAGACTGCAATCAAAGATTTTCTTTTAGGTGTCCAGCCCCTTATCTTTCTAATTTCTGTCTTATATAGATGACACACATATAACATTGTTTCCAAAATAGTTCAGATGCTGTTCCCTGTAACAGAAACGCAGACAGAAAATGCAAGTATGAATGGATGAATTTAATTTAAAAAGTACTTGGAAATTTCATCATATGTGTGAAAGAAAATCATGGACACTGGTTATCAACCAAAAGTATCCAGTATAATATAGAGCTGGGACTTATTTGGAGCAACATATGCATGCATTTAACTGATGTTGTTTTCCAGGAAAGGCCTTACACGCTTCGGCAATGCCAGCAAGGCTACAGGTGCTCAGCTGGCCACCCTGTAGTCCGGACCTGTTGTGCATTTAAAGCACTTGGGGTGTTGCTAAAAAGAAAAGAGCAACTGAAATTCAAAATCAAACAAATAGGGGGAAATGTTTTGCTTTCAAAACCACAGTAACTGATCTTTTTGATTCCCAGTGTAGATAAAAGTAGATGCAATAGACTCTTTTTTTGCCACAGACCAGCAGTTTTATTACTTAACTGTATTCAGAGCGATATGTTCTTATATCTTGTAGCTGCTGGCTGGATTGTTTCAACCGTATCCTGATCTCGTCTTGTTTGGTTATACTCGTTTATACTGTAAATTCCACCTTTAGAAAGAAGGGCAGGATGCAGATGTGAGAACATGTCTGGGAAGCACTGCTGTAAACGGGACAGCTGAATTCCACTCCAGCATTCCAGGAGTGTAATTATAACTTAGCATAAATATGGAAGGTAAATTAAACAAATCATTCATTAAATTCCACTATCGTCATATCTTATTGTCCGTGTCGTCCACCCCTTACCCTTTGCATTTTCATTTTTTTCTCCCTTGCTTTTGCTTTACTTTGTCTTTTGTGTAAGTGAGCCCAGGGGCCTCTCTCTCAGTGACACCGGCTCTGCTTCTGTAAAACTAATAATGACTGAGATTTGTGCCGGCTTAGCATTCTTTCTCCCTTTCAGTGCAAGACGCAAAGAATGGGGAGAAAGGTCCGGTGGTAAGGTGGTGGGGTGAGTCGGGGGAAGTGGGGGGTGGGGTTGAGATGAAGGGCGTCCTAGTTTAAGGGGGGGGAGAAAAAGACAGAGAGGCCCCTTTCCCTGAAATACACCACATGCTTTTATTGTGCATGGATCAATGCCACTGAAATCACTGTGAGTGCTCTGCCAGCAAACATTAGCTTGTATTTATTCACACTTGGACACTCATTCAGACAGCTAGGTGTATTTGTGCAATTTCAGACACCTTGCCATATGAATCAGGTGTGTCCTAACTCTGTTGTAATTCAATCTTGGACTGTTAATAGTTAAAAAGCATGTATGAACTCCAGGCCAGCAGTGAAGTCTTTTTAAACCCCGTGCAAAGAAACGAGATAAAATAAAATAAGTCACAAATGCACGCTGACAAAATGCTGTCAAATTTACATAAAGATCACCAGATGTGCTACAAGATGCAACGAGGGGCCAAGGGGCGGTCTCACACTCACTGCCCTCTCCAACAGTCCTCCCTCCCTCCTTTCACCTCCCCTTCTCTCTTCCAGAGACATGTGCACACGCTGTGCCAGCAGACAGTTTCAGCTCTCGGTAACTGATGCACAGACTGCTGCTGTTTCTCCCTTCCCCTCTTTACTCCCCCTAACAATTCTCCTTCCTTTCCTGTACTGCCTCTATTCATCCCCTCTGTACTTTCCTCTACTTTTTCTCTACTCTGTCATTCTGCCCGTCACTTTTCCTCAGCCGGATATAAAGGCAGGACCTGTTGGAGGGAGAGCGCTTGTGTAATTTCTGGCTGCACTTGAGCACCCAGAGTTGTTGCTTCAGCTGGAAAGGCAACAAACCAGAGGACCTACAAACAGCTACAGGACAAACTTCGAGTAAATCTCTGTAATAAAGAGGAAGAAGGAATACTTCTGAGAAAATAAAGGAGAAGAAGGAGGGGGATGTGCAGAACACAGACCATGCCAGGCTCTTTGCTGGTGCTCCTGTCCCTGTTGGTCCTGTCCACAGGAAGTGATGCCAGAAGAATCAGGAAAAGAGGACTCAACCATAAGGTGGGGCACATAACCTCACCTTTCTACTGTACATACGAGTGTGTGTATTTCTCTGTCTCGGGGTTGTTTAGAGAATCTTTTAAAGTGGAAGTCGGTGAAAGCTCACAGCACTGCAGTACAATGTCTGCTCGGTTACAGGGAGGCACTTTGAGCTGTCAGGGCAGTTTTGTGTCTGAGGTGAGAGGTGTTCGAGTAGGCCTGAGGGCTGTGATTAAAATGACCGATAGTGTTGTGGCATAGTACAAAACACATTTACAGAAAAAGTGCATTTACTCAGGTTTTATACTCAAAGGAAGAAATAGATATTTTTACTCTACAATCACCAGCTGGATATTTTAAATCAGATTAAATTGGTAAATAAAGTTATATATTATATCTTGTTTTATATCAATTCCAAAGTCGTGGAGGAAAAACAACAAATTGAAGCTCTGAAAGTTAATTCAGGACTTTTCCAAACCCAGGAGCGTGAAATTAGATTTGTGGCACCCCACATGTCCCAGCTATGCTAACTGTGGCTAGGTAATGACCATGATTTTGATTAAATAGGCCCAATCCACACGATGCTAGCTTTTTTTATATGATCACTTATTATCATCGGGAAATATTGTAGCTTTTAACGGAAACTGTATGAGATAGGCATGCTTGTTAGTTTTCAGATGAAACATTGAAACAAATACATTTTAAAAAATGCTAAAAATCAGATCAACAAAAATGTAACAGAGTAAGTACGTAGTTCAGTCTGGAGAAGAGTCGGTGTTTTGCTTGAGAGAACTTTAACATTTCTTTCACCGTTGCGAAACAACGGTTTGAGAGCAGATGTGCTTTGATTTATAGATGCATGAAAAATCCACTCAGACAGGCGAGTTTTGAAGAGTAACAGAGAGTGTGCAACAGGTTGGAATAAGTAATGATTCTATAGGAGCAGTGGGGGGTATATGGGATGTTCAGCATTAGTTGGTGTGTGTGTGTGTGTGTGTGTGTGTGTGTGTGTGTGTGTGTGTGTGTGTGTGTGTGTGTGTAGTGGATTATTAGGGCAGGAACTGAATTTGCAGGCCAGGCCCCCGCTTGTTAACTCAGCTCAGTGTAGCTGATTGATCATCTCTAACAAGGGCTCACTGTAGCGTGCTGCCTTTCCTCTCTGTAACCTTTCATGCTTCAGTGTTCTCACCTTCTGACTTGTTTGTGGCCTCTGTCTCTCATTTTCAGCCTTTCTCTAATACTGTATGTAACTGTTACCATTCCACCCTCGTTCTGACCCGATTTCTCTTCCCCGCTGACCGTGTGCTTCTCTCAGTACACCACCCTCCGTTTTCCCTCAAATATCTTTCTCTGGTCTCCTCCTGCTCTCAGGATGGGCCAAAAGAACCGTCCGTCTGGACTCTGCCTCAAAGCTGCAGTAATTGGAACATGCTGAGACAGCTCTATAGACAGAGTTTGCCTTTTACTCCTTGAACCTTTTCATCTCGGTATCTTGCAATCTTTCTTTTTTTTAAATCTCCCACATACACACACTCAGCCTCATTCATAACGCCAAGGCCATGCAGAAAGACAAATTATAGTCACGCAGTATTTAACATACACACTCCACAGAAGGATATTTTGTCTCGAAAGGAAAATTGGTAAATTTGAAATCAACACAAGACCACCAACATGCTCAGTTTTGCCTTTTGAAGCCTTTTCTTGAGATTGTATAATAAGCTTTAAACCATAACAATATGAATACACGATCCGTTTAGATTAACCAAAATTTTTACATGCAAGTAGGTTCGTATATTAATACAGGAGAGGAGGTCAGATTTTGGCAGATGTTTGTTTTAACCTTAAAGAATGTATTTTGGTCAGTAATGGATAGAACACGCTGACATTTTCCCAAAACCAAAGTATCACTTGGATTTAAGAGAAGTGCTACATGCACTGTGTACACCAAGAGTTGATCACTTGTATTTTTATTTTTTATTCCTATTTATTCTATTTATCCCCTTTGTATATTTTATTTATATTTGTCTCTGTATTTATATATATGTGTGTGTGTGTGTGTGTGTGTGTGTGTATATATATATATATATATATATATATATATATATATATATATATAACAATTCTGTAACTGTAACTTCGGTCGTTGCTGTGCTTTTTTTTTGGAAGTCGAATTTCCCAGAGGAACCCACCCGAGGGATTAATAAAGTTCTATCTTATCTTATCTTATCTTATCTTATCTTATCTTATCTTATCTTATCTTATCTTATCTTATCTTATCTTATCTTATCATTTAGTATACTTGTAAATCTTTTGAAAGAAAGGTGTTTGCATGACAGTCTTTCCATGTTCCATCTCTGCGCTTCAATAGAAACATGCCGGTCTAAGAATGATTTACATGTAATCAGGGTATTTAGGTAAGAAATGGGCCTAAAGGCTGCAATGGTCAGAGTGATAGAGATGCTAATAGAATTAGGCCAGTTTTCAGCACCTGTCTAATCAGGCTGGAGATTGCCTGTTCTGTTTAAGCGCTTAAAAGGAACAAAAAGGAAATGGACCCACTCTTATGTCTGAGATAAATACCTCAGCAGCGCCTCAGTTTGAAAGTTTTGGATCTATAAGTTTCCCCCTCTTACCAAATCATTGCCCAGATTTTCAGATTCCAGATTTGCTTTGCACACACCCACCACTCAACCAGATTGTTTAGTCTCATATAGCCATAACACAGTCTGGCTCAGACATCTGCCTGGGCATGCCCGTGTGCAAAGCAGTGTCTCACAGTAGCATTATAAATCTTTAGTTTCATCTAAGTGAAGTGATGTGGGCCCTTCTGACAGTATCTGCTATTAAGCAGAACGTGAAACACTTGGGCTTCCTGGCGTTTGTCTGGTCATGTGTTTGAAGGATAAGCATGCAACTGCTGCCTGATCTTTGAGAGATTTGTGGACATTTGTGGCGTAAATGTTGCAGACTGGTGGTGATGGCTTGTCTTGTAATGCAAACAGTTTCAGAGCTAAAGTTTGAACACTTTAATGCAAGGAATATTGTTTCCAGCTGTATGCAATTGCTCTAAGCTCAAACCTCATCTGTTTAAAACTACTTTCCCCCTGTGATCACATGTGCACTGTCTACTTCTAACTTCTTTATTTTTAGTGCTCTTTTACTTGGTTTTTGTTCATTTACTGTACAGGGCCCCTGAGTGTTTTGAAAGGTGCTTGTAAATGAAGTGTAATATTATTATTGTTTATTATTAGGTAAAAGGGGAAAAGTCTGTAAGCCTGGGATTTATAAATGCATGGAAGGCGCTGACTGTAGAAAGACCAGGCCACGTTTGTAGCTGTGAAGTTTTAAATATGGTGACTTTAAACATGTAGATTTGCTTTGTGGAGGCTCAGAGCTCTGAGAGGACAGAGTGTCAATATGAAGGAAACTACTGCAGCCATTGGTCATTAGCTATAAACCATCAGTTATATCATAGTAGTGTAACACTATTCTCGCTTAGAATCTACAATTTGGGATAATTTTTCTGTTATTATTAATATATTCTAATGAATATATTTGTTTTCTTTTCTGAGACATGACCTGTCAGCTATTTAACTCTGCAGCTCAAAGCAGGATTAATTCCAGTTAGATCTGAGTCTGGTGGTCAGCAGCACATTACTGGACATAACACTGGAGCAGATTATTGCTCAGTACCACAAACCTCAAATATAAACTCCCGTCCAAATCATCCCAAACATTCCTTCTGTTGTAGGAAAGTTGTGTAAACCAACATGATGTCGGTCAACATGATTTCCCATCATTCATTAAAGCTCTCATGTCTTACTGATTTACAGTTTGTCTGTTTTCCTCACAACTTAGCCTGCTGCGTTTGCTCTTCTGTCTTTCTGTCAAACTGACAGCTGCTCTAGAAGCAGGAAATTGGGTCTCACAACACAAAATCTAACCAGATGTGTGCTGTGAGTTTCTTCATTTAGTAAAAGCTGAAGATCTTCCAGATTTAAAATGAAACCTTGAAACCTAACCAAAAGACCAAACACGTTTAGCTGTGTGTACACCATGGAAATATATACAACAATCTTTATTTATAGAGCACATTTAAAAACCAACGACATGCCAAAGCGCTTAACATAAAACAAATTAACACAAGTATAAACAGAGTCATAAAAAAATAGAAGTGTAAAATTATGTTCACAGGAAAAGCCACCAATAGAAAAAATATAACTATAGCACAATATAACTATGCCATCAAAACACAATGGCGACAAGACACACACAGTGGAAATAAAAGCATGATAGGAAAATTAAAAGAATAAATAAATCTCTGCAAACAAGGCCAGCATTTAGCCGGTAGAAAAAGCAAGATTAAACAAATACGTTTTAAGCCGTGATTTAAAAGATTGAATAGAGTCAGACGGACTCTATTCAATCGGAAGGTTGCACAACTCTGGTGCAGCCAGAGCAAACGCTCGATCACCTCTAGATTTCAACCGAGAGATCTAGGCTGCACCAGCAGCCTATATATATTCTTTGGTTTGTTTGTAGATCCAAGTTTCTGTGCATGTGTGTGCTCGTGCACTTGCATCCTTGCACAGACGAAGCAGAAAATGTTAGTATCTGTCTCCGATTTTGTTTTGTCGTTACTTCAAATGGTCAGATTTCAGTTCAGTTAAGGAGCCAGGCGTGGTGGCTTCTCCTCATCACCTCTCTGTGAGAAATTGGAACGAGTGAAAGAATCAGCAACTGAGATCAGACTTTAAAGCTACTGTCGTGTTGCTTTTCGACACCAACAGCAGGGGAAGAAAGAAAATGAAAGCATCAAAGAGTGAGCGAGATGGAGTACAGACAGTGACAGATAGATAGATGGAGGGGAAAATATTCCCACAGATATTCATGAACATCACACACAAGCCTGCTGGCAGTTTCTTTATTGGGGAGAAGCAGCAGACAGGAGTGTAAATAAACACTGTGGAACATCTGAGAGATGTGTGTGAGATTTTATGATAGACTTCAAGAAACAGAGCATGACAGCCCTTCTGGCGTACAGCAGTGGAAAAATCATGAGATGACAACTGAGAACAAAGTGGTTAAAGTAAAAGAAGAGTAACAGATATTTAACCAAAGCACAGTCCGAACCAGCATGGGTGATGGTAGCGTTCTCGGGGAGCTGTAATAAATCAGTGAATGGCTCCTGCAGTGTGCACTTTTGCCTGTATGGTATAATTAAGAGCAAGTTCAAACTACACACACACAAAAGCATGCAGTTGAATAAACAGGAAGGGCACGCTTGAGCTTTTTGTAGGAGAGGTTTGCAGGATACACTGGGAACAGATCGGATATAAGATAAGTTCAGATAGTGTAATAATCATTATGTAATTATCCAGTCTGAGCAAACTTTGTAGTACTCATTCACAGAAGAGATGCTGTGAATGAGTACGGAGCTCCAGTAGACTCCTGTCTGTATGAGGCCAGCATACACATAAAAATTAGAGTGGAATTTAACTAGAAAAGCAATAAAATAATCACTGACCACCGACTAACATCAGAGACAACACCCGCAGCAAACTGACAAACAATATTCTTGTTCTTTGGAGATGAAAAGCTTTACTAAGGTATCCAGTTATTTCCTGTTTCTGTCCATGTGTCAAAACGACTGATGAGAAACAAATTTCAGGCCCAAAGTATCAGGCAAAAGAGGAATCTCATTTCAACTCTGTAAAATAATCGAAATTTCAAATTAACTGAAGAACACAACGTTCTCTCCATCTCGCCGACCTCACCCCATACACCAAACACCCACCGAGCTCCCAGCTGCCAGAAGAAACGAATTCATTTTTAAAGTGTTTGTGGTGCCACCATGAGTGCCAAACATTTGTCTTTTGTGTTTCACTGGTTGGTTCGGAGGAACAGCCTGCAAGCCTGCCAAATAAACAGCACAGTTTTAATGATCGTGTGCCACCCAGAAGCCAATTATCTAATTACAAATCTAGTGTAAGAAGAAACAAAAACAAATTCCTCTTTCTCGCTTTCATCTGCACTCTGGCCCATTCAGAAACGATGCTGCAGTTTCACTTGTTTCTTGCACCGTGTGCTTTCAACATCATTTCAACAGTTTGACAGAGATGCACTACCTTGACCAGTTTAGAAAATAAACTCTAGCCAATTAATAAAATATTCCCCAAATATGTTCCTCCGCTCTGGAGGATCCGAGGTTAAACCAAACTGTTCATTTTGATACAGTTAAAAGGAGAGAAAACACTGACGCTTCATCCAGAAAAGTAAATACAGTTCGTGAGAAAATATGAGAGTTGGTGTTTAGTTGATGGCAGCTGTGCTTCTTGGGATTTTGCTATAATAATTTCCATGTGCACAAACCCCCAGAACAATGAATGGTCATTTATTCTGTGGTGCACAACATCAGATATTCAATACCAGCAGTGAACAAAAAAATATAATAAAAAAACAAAACACTTCCCTCCACTTGTTCTTGCCAGAACTGTGTGTGAAGTGGATCTTTGCTCAGCTTCATAGTGGCCTACTTTCTCCCTCTCATTCACCAGGGAAGTAAGTGTTCGGTCCCACACTGAAACACCTGACCAATCCAGGTTAAGGTATTGGTAGGCAGGCATGCATGCAGAAATCAAACCTTCACCGCTCCTGTGCACAGTTCAGCTAAGTGCGTGCTGGATGTGCTCCCTCAGGTGTATTGTCGCCCTCTGCTGGTTGCAATGTGGTCACAGATATTATTACACTGAATGAAACTGTCTCAGTCTAATCTACATACATGCAGCACAGCCAGCACCTATTCTGAAAATACTTCCTGTCTACAGTGAAACTAAGCTTTTACTTCAACTGATCAAACACACACGTCCACACATGTGCAATAGCAATAACACTAAACGCAATACTCTTTTCTGGCATTGTTGTATTATACTTGTATATAGCATTTGTATTCTATTTTATTCGATTGTATATAGTATTTTATTTTTATTTTATTCTATTCTATTGTGTACAGTATCTCATAGATATATTATTCCAGTGTTTTTTCTCTAATTCTTCAATGCAACTTTGCACTGCACTGCTGTAACAAAATAAATTTCCCACACGTGGGACTAAGGTTATCTTATCTTATCTTACTGTGCTTCAACTTTACTAACTGATCAAAGTAAACTTGTATTAGGAGGCCAGTGATTAGCTTTACTTACTTTATTTTGAAATTCATTTATATAACAGCATGTGAAATCCTACAGAGACATCCATAATGTACTTATTATGGTTTTGTTTACAGCGACACCTGCAAAGTTAATGTGACTCCAGACTCCAGAGCTGCATTTTTATGATCTGTTGTCTTTTAACCGTGTTATTAAAAAAATAAAAAGCATATATCTATCTATCTCAATATCTACTAATTCTGAAGTCGGTATCTCTATTTCTTTTTGTGTGTGTTGCCCTCACATTGGCCTCCAGGGTAATATGTTCCAGTACTTTAAATAAAGAAGAGAGGGTATCGTGCATCAAAGTAACAGACCCCATCCATGGTATATTTCAGACATTTATCTGTCTTTCTTTCTCTCTTTCAGGATTACGAGTATCTCAATCATCCCCAGTCCACACAGCACCAAAAGAATGACCGGTGTCCACCGCCGCCCCAGATGTTACCAGAGCGAGCCTGCGAGGTCCCGGGCTGCCGCTCAGACTCAGAATGCGAGCGCCACAAACGCTGCTGCTACAATGGCTGCATCTATGCCTGCCTGGAGTCTGTGCAGCCACCACCAGGTCAGCAGAACCAGCAGACTGGAATTAAAATAGGGCTTCAAATTATATTAAAGTGATTATTGGTTGGCAATATTTTGATGTTCACAGAAATGCAGGAAGTTATATTTTTCCTCGTATTGTTGTTGAGTATTGCAGTAGCTAAGGATGTGTGTGTTTTGAGCAGTTCTGGACTGGCTGGTGCAGCCCAAGCCTCGATGGTTGGGGGGTAACGGTTGGCTGCTAGACGGTCCTGAGGAGGTTTTGCAAGGTGAGGGCACACACCTGAACAGTTAAGGGTAACACACATGTGAGTCCAGAAAATCCATCTGCAGAACATTTTTGAGTTTTCAGTGCAATATTGTGCAGTGATATTTAATCAGAAGTCACTTTCCTCCCTTCCTGTGTGACAATAATAATCACAAACTGTAAAGACATCTTCACTGTAATAGTCCCACCAGTCTCAAATACAACGCACCACAAATATTAACAGGAGGGCAGACTTGCTGCTCATTTTCCTTTAAAAAAAAACAACTCTAAAACTTTGAGTTTTTTTCTGAGTTTATATTTGTATGCTGGCATTTCCTGTGGGAAATATTGTTTTTTAATTATTTGAAGGAAAGCCAGAATATAGTGCCACAAAATGACTTTTGCTCTTCTTATTGTCGTTTCCTTGGATACAGAGTGTACAGAGTGTGTTGGTTTTTGTATTTTTTTGCCCACTAGCTGAGGCCTGCAGTACTACTGAGGATGGAGATGAGCCTCTGCACTGTCCTACGGGCTACGAGTGCCACATCATCAATCCAGGAAACCCAGCCTCTGGCATCCCTAACAGGGGACAGTGCATCAAGCAGCGCGGCAACTCTGGTATTATTTTATTTCCCTTGACTTAAATGTTTTAGTGATCGCTCACATGATTGTGATGTGGCTTTAAATGTAGAATTTAACACACATTCTCTCCTATCTATATGTCACTTTCACAACAACCGTCTGATAGAGCTGCTCTCAAAGCTTTGTGCTCTGAAGCGCCACAGGGCAGGATGAGAATGCCAGGCTGTGCCAAGCATTCGGCTCTGGTGTCTCTATCTTGGCAAATGGCACGCTGTTAGATGCCAGGTTTCTCCTTTGAAATAGATCTTGAAATAAACATGCTGGAGTGACCTTGCAAATGAATAGACGGCCACGAGATGAACTGATAACGTGTGATTGAAGCTGTTGGCAGAAATATTAAACCAAGTATTTGACAGAGGGAACTTTATCCATTCATTCAGTTTGTGCATATAATGGTGATTTTAATTACAGATGGACGTAGCTTGAGACACAAATACTTTAAGGACTACAAGGACTACTTAGGTAAGAAGCTCAAGTGAATAAAAGCTTCAAACTGAATATTAAGTAAAGCTAATATGTCTGACATCATTGTGGCTTTTTTATTTGCTAGGTACCAGCTCTAACAGTGCAGTGGGCTATGAAAAGCATCACCACAAGCACCTGGGGTGAAGTATGTTCTCAGCCACTCACATAAAAATAAAATCATCCTCATCTGCATTTTCCTGTAAACAGACCCATTTTTTTTTCTCATACCTGCTCAGGTCGACTTGAACTCAGCCTCAGCTTCGAGCATAGCACAACCTCAGACATCAGTCCAGTCCTGTTTGATCCGCTCGCAGCTAAACCGGGATCAGATCTGACCTTTTTTTAAACTACGCCTCCAGCTGCTACCTCCTCTGCGCAATGCCCTGTCTCGCAGCCTCTCGTCAGTCACGTGTCCACAGGGAGACGAGTTTCTCACACTCTCAGCATGCATCCAAAGAAAAAAAGCACTTTTGTCCCTCTGTTTGATGTCAGCAAAAAGGGAGGAGGAGAGGCTTTTGGTGAAGGTAGCGCAAGGTGCAAACTGAAGCTGATTAGCAAAATTGTCTGAGCAACCCCGATTTTTGCAGCCCCCTCCCCCCTCTCTATAATTTGTTCCTATTTTCATCCACTGCCATGCTCTCTATTCTTAAGACTGGTCAGCAGAAAAAATCAAGACCATGTGGGCTTCATTCTTAGCTCTAAATTCCTCTTCTGAAATCTGGAATGTTTTATGGACAAGAGGGAAAAAAATCCAGGTGTAGCCGTGAGTCAGCTAAGAAAATCCAGATGTTTTATATTATGCGCTAATAACTCTTAATTAAAAAATAATACCATGTGAGTATGTGGATCAGTAAATTCAGAACAGCTGCAGGTATGTACAAGCTAACAGATGCTGACTGTGACTTGGAAAGCAAAATAAAGAAAGACAAAACTGTTTATTTAAGAGGCCTATTCGAGATGCTCCCCCTGTGAAAAAGAAAACTTAAATTAACCTACTGAAGGAAAGTGACTCGTTTTGAAAAGACTGGTTTCATTTACACTTCTTTGACGACTTATGCAGTAAATATGTACCAGTTCAGAACAGTTATTCATTAACATACTATATGAGAGACAATAATCCCTGCTGCAGTATACACATGATAAAAGAAAGGGATTTTGCTTCCATGTAAATATTTAAATGGTGCTTCGGTAATTGCTGCATATAATAACAGAAGAATAAGCTGGTCACACGTGAAAGAAAACCACTCTGTGCAGAACTAAAGTGATGTCTGAATATTTCCATCTGATTGGTGCTATGTCGCTGCCTTGATTATTCTAAATAAACCACTTTATTTTAAAAAAAGTTGTCCTTTGGTTCTCTTTCCCAAGTCATTTTAAGATGTGTGAAAATACTATTCACATTCTGTCAAGCCAAGAACATTTATGTACATCTGCATGCAGTAAATTAGCTTTCTGTTCACGATCTAAAAATGAAACGAAAAGGCAAAAATAATATTGCACGGTTCTTTTCCCAAGAGAAACACAGACTTCTTTGTTCTCATTTAGTAGCAGAAACAGCAGAACAGCTTTCAAATGAGCTGCCTCAGTTTGTAGCTGAAATAAGTGCTTTAGACCACATTGCATTTGAAACTGTTTGGAAGTTTGCACAAACAACTTCTGCAAGAATGGCACTGATTTGGTTCCCCATCTTGCTCATGACAGAGAACAGAAATATTTGCGTTCTTTAGCACAAAAACATGTAATGTTTGTGCAGTTATACAAATCCACAGTCAGCTTGTAAAAACAAGCTTGAACACTTTCTGACCCAGTGGGTCTTTTTACAAAGCCCCAGTGTTAGGTAGCCAGTGGTAGTGGTGGTTGTGGAGGTGGCCGTTAAGGTCACCACTCCCCCGCTGGACAAACATTTCCTTAAATTAAGACAATTTATATTTAGAGCCTGTGATTTCCATTAATAAACAACACAAGAGAATAAAAGATAAGGCAATATACAGGGAGTGCAGAATTATTAGGCAAATGAGTATTTTGTCCACATCATCCTCTTCATGCATGTTGTCTTACTCCAAGCTGTATAGGCTCGAAAGCCTACTACCCACTAAGCATATTAGGTGATGTGCATCTCTGTAATGAGAAGGGGTGTGGTCTAATGACATCAACACCCTATATCAAGTGTGCATAATTATTAGGCAACGTCCTTTCCTTTGGCAAAATGGGTGAAAAGAAGGACTTGACAGGCTCAGAAAAGTCAAAAATAGTGAGATATCTTGCAGAGGGATGCAGCAGTCTCAAAATTGCAAAGCTTCTGAAGCGTGATCATCGAACAATCAAGCGTTTCATTCTAAATAGTCAACAGGGTCGCAAGAAGCGTGTGGAAAAACCAAGGCGCAAAATAACTGCCCATGAACTGAGAAAAGTCAAGCGTGCAGCTGCCAAGATGCCACTTGCCACCAGTTTGGCCATATTTCAGAGCTGCAACATCACTGGAGTGCCCAAAAGCACAAGGTGTGCAATACTCAGAGACATGGCCAAGGTAAGAAAGGCTGAAAGACGACCACCACTGAACAAGACACACAAGCTGAAACGTCAAGACTGGGCCAAGAAATATCCCAAGACTTATTTTTCTAAGGTTTTATGGACTGATGACATGAGAGTGAGTCTTGATGGGCCAGATGGATGTGTTAGGATGCCTGGGTCGTTGACCCAGGGTTTTTGAGTTTATTATATTATTTATACTTTCTAGTCTTTGGCTTCTTTGAGTTCTGTCTTATGGTTTATGTCTCTGTCTTCTTTAGTTGCTCTGTCTCCCCTATCACCTGTATCCCCTTGTCTAGTTCGCGTCTCTGTGTATCCTTAGTTCCTATTTCCCCGTGTTCAGTCAGTGTTTGTCTGCCCTGGTCCCACGTCTCTGTTCCCTTTGTTATAGTGCCTGCCTGTGAGTCTGTGTTAAGTTTCCTGTTTTACTTTGAAAGTCCATGTCTGATGTTAATGTGTCTGGTTTTGCTTTCCCTTGTCTCGTTAGGCCTGATTTGCCCCAGCTGTGTTTCCCTCCTGTTACCCATTCCCTGATTGCTCCCTCTGTGTATTTAAGCCCCGTGTTTCTTTGTGTCTGTGTCGCGATCTACCGTTTACTTTGCTGTGTGGTTTGGCAATCCGCCGGTGTTAGTTTATTTTTGAGTTTTTCCAGTTATGTTTGCGTTCAGTATTAAAGCTGTTTTGGTTTAAGTTCTGTCTCCGGAGTCTGCACCTTGGGTCCTATTCCTGTTTGCACACAGCCACACCTAACAGGATGGGCCCGTGGCTGGATTGGTAAAGGGCAGAGAGCTCCAGTCCGACTCAGACGCCAGCAAGGTGGAGGTGGAGTACTGGTTTGGGCTGGTATCATCAAAGATGAGCTTGTGGGGCCTTTTCGGGTTGAGGATGGAGTCAAGCTCAACTCCCAGTCCTACTGCCAGTTTCTGGAAGACACCTTCTTCAAGCAGTGGTACAGGAAGAAGTCTGCATCCTTCAAGAAAAACATGATTTTCATGCAGGACAATGCTCCATCACACGCGTCCAAGTACTCCACAGCGTGGCTGGCAAGAAAGGGTATAAAAGAAGAAAAACTAATGACATGGCCACCTTGTTCACCTGATCTGAACCCCATTGAGAACCTGTGGTCCATCATCAAATGTGAGATTTATAAGGAGGGAAAACAGTACACCTCTCTGAACAGTGTCTGGGAGGCTGTGGTTGCTGCTGCACGCAATGTTGATGGTGAACAGATCAAAACTCTGACAGAATCCATGGATGGCAGGCTTTTGAGTGTCCTTGCAAAGAAAGGTGGCTATATTGGTCGCTGATTTGTTTTTGTTTTGTTTTTGAATGTCAGAAATGTATATTTGTGAATGTGGAGATGTTATATTGGTGTCACTGGTAAAAATAAATAATTGAAATGGGTATATATTTGTTTGTTAGGTTGCCTAATAATTATGCACAGTAATAGTCACCTGCACACACAGATATCCCCCTAAAATAGCTCAAACTAAAAACTACTTCCAAAAACATTCAGCTTTGATATTAATGAGTTTTTTGGGTTCATTGAGAACATGGTTGTTGTTCAATAATAGAATTATTCCTCAAAAATACAACTTGCCTAATAATTCTGCACTCCCTGTATGCCCGTAAGAAGTAATTTCAAAAATTGTTTTTAATTAAATATATTTCAAGAAAACATGGCATTGCTAGCAAATAAGAATGCTCGATTTTGCCACCAGTCTTCAGTAGACTGGGTGTCTGCATGTTTGTACTGGGCGGCAGGTGTGGGCTTATGCTAGCGCCTGCTTGCTTATTAGAAGTGCTCTGTTTGGACTTTGAATGAAGGGAGTGTTATTCTGAACTACAGAGACAAATTCTGCATTATTCTTTCTATTTATTTATCACATTACTTAATATTTTAATATTTTATTCAAAGGGCTAAAACGAAACATGGTAACCAGGTTAACATTAGCAGCACTAGTTTCTTTTGAAATTTGGAATCTTTTTAGAAAGAATTTGTATCTTTGTAGAAATATGAAAGTATGCGGGCCCTCCTTTACGCCGTGCTACGTCTCTGTTGCCGGTGTGGTCACTGAGTGCTGCAATATGTGGGAAACGTGTAGCTCAGCGGGTGTCCTCTTCTCCCTTTGTCTCGTGCTCTCTCACACGGGCACACTCGTGCAACTAAGCGCCTACGTCAGAAAAAAGGGAGAACAACACTGTCAGTGAGCACTTAGTGTACAACGGCCATTGTGTTTGGGATAAGCCGGTGGTGGTAACTACGACAGCACGAAGGCTGCCAGCCGTTTGTTATTACCGCCTAAAAACCTGACTAGTGGGCATGCCGCGCATAACCGCTTCATCAACACCACCTTGCTGATCACGTCAACATGAGCGCGCCGAACAAGTCTTCGGAGAAAAGGTTTGTGTGGTCCTCTTTTAGAAGTTTGTGGTATGTAATGCTGTGCACTCTGCATTTAGTGAAATATATAAAGAAGTAAATAAATGCCCATGAAGAGTTAACGTAGACGTTTTTAGTTCGTAATGGGATTTAGAGTCTCTTCTTTACATTCCCTGTTTACCGATAAAGCTATTTAATCCTAGTGACACTTTCAGTTTTATGAATGGACTGGATGAAGAGTTGAATGTGTTTAATAAAAGACAAACTTGTGTCCAGAAGGTGTCAGTGTAGTGTACGCAGTAAGCTGCTGAGGAAGAGTCCGCGTCTGTGTCTGCTGTAAGAAAAAACAAACTTCACAGTATGCAAACATTACATCTGCATGTGGTTTCAGTCTAAAACCGCATGCAGATGTAATGTTGGCAACAAGGATGACAATAATTAGTGCAAGACTTATGCTTCTGAAAGATGAATCAATATGCGTTGGCATAACTGAAGAGTAGTTTAATCTGCAGTTGATAAAGCAGCAGGTTTATGTTGTTATACTATTATCTTTTTTTTCTTTGAACAGAAACGGCCCCAAAAATAAGCTGGATAAGCTTTTAAAGGAGAGAAAATGCACATTTCCCCTTCTGATCAAGGTATGGAAACAGCAATTCGTCTTACCACTGTGCTTTATTATTTCAACTGTATACTAAATCTTGAGAGGGGTTTTTTCTTTTAATTGTGCCATCATGAAAGCTTAATGTATTACATAAGTTAGTGTTGTTGCCAAGGTTTTGTGGGGTGACGGAAGGCCTCCAAGTAACCAAACACCCCGAGTTCATCTGC